ATTGCACAATGAAGTGGGAGGAAATTAGGGATGGGAAATAAAACAGGGAGTTAATTTTCAGTCTTTGGTACAGAATAGCCTTTGAGTTTATGTACTTATTAGTATATAGTTGGATGCATTCAAATATCTACCACCCACTGACAGCCCCACAGGTAGTACTTCGAAGTAGCCTCATAAAGGTGAGAGCAGGTCTGCTTATGAAAATGCTGCTCTCCTCCTCCAAGCAACTAGCGACAGCCCTGGTTGAGCAATGGGGCAATGGTTAAAGCCAATGTTTCAACAGAACTTAAAGCTAGGGAGCGTAAAAGAGGAACACCCTTCCCTAATCCAGGTCTACAGGAAAAGTATTTCCCCTAAAAAACCCTCCTGCTCTGTATCATTTTACTCCCACTGGCCCTGGGGAGGTGGTCTTTAATTCTGATCAGTAAATTTTAAGAATAACTAAACCTACTTTGTTCAAACCAGTCTTGGGATTTTCACACCTGTAAAATGCACATTTTCCTGCTCTTCCAGGGGCTCTGCCCTTCTCAGGGTATGCTGGGGTGACCGGGTGGATGGCTAAGTCACCCCAGCTAAATTACAAGGGCCTGGTTAGAAATTGAATGTAACATGGTAGAGTGAACTCTGCAGATAAGTTTTTAAAAATTAATGACTGATAGAGATAATACCCCTTAAAAGCCCCTACATCACTATCCAAACACTGAAACTATGTAAATCAGAAGGAAGACTAAATAAAATGTTTTCTAAAACACCTGAGTGCTGAAAATATTTTTTTTTTTCAGGTATGACAATCAGACCCTCTTCTACAAATACCACAGTGATACTGATTACTGATCAAAAGACTAAAATTGGTAAATTCACATGAAAAGTGAGAAAATGAAAATGGAATGAACAATTCTATTCAATTAGAAGCAATTTTAGAGAATTTTATTTAACTGTCAATTATTACCAACGTCTAACATTTCTAGTTTTGCTACATTTGGGTAAGCACATTAGGAAGAAAATGTAAATTAAATACTATGAAACTGTACTTTTAATGAAACACGGTCTTAATAGGATATGAATATATAAGTTTAGTGGTTTTATTGCATTGTTAGAAAATTGTATTCAGCCTTTAATCTAGTTCTTTCTGGGGTCCTGCAGGAACTACCACCCCATGAGAAACAATTCCAGCTACAGCTTCTGAAAAAACCTCAGCTCCACTCAGGCATCAGAAATTTCTCTGGCTAAGGCTGATTCAAATGAGAAATTTGGCAGGACAGTTTGCAGACTTATTTTTCTTAAGGTTTTTATACTTTGAACTCATGTGGGCAAGATAATTTGATTTCGTTAATTAATTCCCTTAATGTCTTCGGATTTTAATTTCCAAAGGGATTTAATCTTTGAACTGTTTTTCCCCTAAAAGTTGAGTAATAGATTTCTATTCAAATTTGAGGTATCATTAGTTTGTTAGCATTTTATCATTAAACTATCTTTCATGCATTTTCCTATGGGAATCCAATGTTGGGATTTAATCTCAATGCAGAATCTCTGATATGCTATATTGCACAATGAAGTGGGAGGAAATTAGGGATGGGAAATAAAACAGGGAGTTAATTTTCAGTCTTTGGTACAGAATAGCCTTTGAGTTTATGTACTTATTAGTATATAGTTGGATGCATTCAAATATCTACCACCCACTGACAGCCCCACAGGTAGTACTTCGAAGTAGCCTCATAAAGGTGAGAGCAGGTCTGCTTATGAAAATGCTGCTCTCCTCCTCCAAGCAACTAGCGACAGCCCTGGTTGAGCAATGGGGCAATGGTTAAAGCCAATGTTTCAACAGAACTTAAAGCTAGGGAGCGTAAAAGAGGAACACCCTTCCCTAATCCAGGTCTACAGGAAAAGTATTTCCCCTAAAAAACCCTCCTGCTCTGTATCATTTTACTCCCACTGGCCCTGGGGAGGTGGTCTTTAATTCTGATCAGTAAATTTTAAGAATAACTAAACCTACTTTGTTCAAACCAGTCTTGGGATTTTCACACCTGTAAAATGCACATTTTCCTGCTCTTCCAGGGGCTCTGCCCTTCTCAGGGTATGCTGGGGTGACCGGGTGGATGGCTAAGTCACCCCAGCTAAATTACAAGGGCCTGGTTAGAAATTGAATGTAACATGGTAGAGTGAACTCTGCAGATAAGTTTTTAAAAATTAATGACTGATAGAGATAATACCCCTTAAAAGCCCCTACATCACTATCCAAACAC